TTCAGCCCGGACAGCCCTCAAAAGACCTCGGTACAGCCCGAACAGCACCCGAGTAGCTCCGTTTCAGCCCGACAGCGGTTGGAGAGCCTCGTTTTCACCCGAACACCTCTCGGATAGCATTATTTCCGCGCTAACAGTGATTGGACTGTTGCTTTGTAGCCCAAACAGGGTGCTGAATATCAAACATAGCAAAAGAACGTAAGTGGAACAAGAAAATATCAAAAGAGGAGTATGGTGTACCTTTCGGGCAATTAATTGAATGCCTTGTTGCTGCAAAGTTGGAAGCTGGACGTTTATGTTCTCTCTGTCGTAGCCCACCAAAATTTTTGACAGCAGCAGCACAAACACAATTCACCAAAAAAAAAAAAGAGTTGCAGTGGCTCAAAGAATGAAAGAGAAGGATGAGAATTTACCTATTCAGCTGTTATGTTGTGATTTGTGTGGTGAATACTGCCCAAGGCCCTTCTTTTTATAGGGGTTATGTTGTGATTTGTGTGGTGAATACTGCCCAAGGCCCTTCTTTTTATAGGGGAGAACCCCTGTAAGCTTAGGAAACTTTCTTTTCCTGATATGGTGAGGAATCCACAGCAGAATCTCTAAAGGCCGGAAAGAAATAACTGAAAGAATGCATGTTCCTCAGTGACGTATATGGTGAACAATGTCTCCTCTTTCATAGATGAGAGAATTTAGGAAAACTTCCTTGTAAGAAAATTCGCACGTTTCATGCATTGGATTTTTGTTTTCTTTAGCTACATGGTTGAAAAAGGACGTGTTGCCTTTGTTAAGTGAATAAAATATTGTTCAGAATATTTGTAACCATTCATTGAAGTTATGTTAGCCAAGCAATTTATAGGGTAATTTAGCCAAGCATTTAATGGGCTAGTTTAAGTATTTCGGCTGCTTGAAGCGAAAAAGAACCTCATGGGCTCGTATACATGCTGTTGGGTTTGGACCAATTAAATAGGTTGTACATGATATTCATGAATAACTGGGGATCCAATTTATTAGCCAGGCCGTGTGCGGAAGTTAAACTTGGTTCCGCTCAAAAGTATTTTGGGCTTAATAAACGATATAATAGCCCAATTGTCAGAGCCCGATAAATGATGTCGCGACTTATTCACTTCAAGACACATCGTCCGTGAACAAGTCTCGAGGGGGCATTTGTAGAGACATAAAATTTGTGTCCAATGAAATGGCGTTACGTAGAAATTAATTTATTAAAAATCAAGTCATATTTTCTATTTATATTTTAGGAATTTCCATATATTTAATTCCTAAATTTAAATAGTTAATTAATTGATATTTTAATATTTTAATTCTTTTTGGTAACTAAATCATATCTTCTAGAATATATTGGAAGATTTAAGTGGATCTTGAAGATCTTATGTGAATCATCGTGGACCAATCAAATCGTGTCCTACGATTCTTAAATTTGGTAGGGTCCTCTCCCTTATACCTATAAATAGGGGTTCTCCCTAATGTCAAAGACACCTCATAATTCATATTCAATTTCAAAACTCTAGAGAATTCTCTCTACAAGTTTCGAAGTGTTCTTGAAGATTCGAAGCCGTTCTTGAAGATTC